CCGGGCATGGGGCGCGCCGCGGCCGCCTGACGCGTGGGGCCTGGGCCGGCCGCCGGTGTCGCCGCGCCGCCGCCTCGTCGCGTCCTCCGGGCTGGAGGCGGGGGGACAGAGCGCGCGCGGCGCCGCGGCCGTTCCCGGGGAGCGGCGTCCCTGGACGGCGGGCGGCTCAGGCGGTCCGGGAGGAGGACTGGAGATGTCCGGTCTGTGCCGCCTCCTACTCGCGTACCTGTTCCCGGCCCTCCTGCTTCACGGTGAGTTTCTGCGCGGGCGCCGGGGAGCCCGGGCGCAGCCGCTGCTCCCCCTGCCCAGCCCCGGGGGAGGGGGCTCGCGGGTCCCCCGGCGGCGCCCGGAGCTGGTTTGAGGCTGGAGCTTGCTTTCTGGAAGGGTGCAGAGCTCACACACAGACACCTTTTAACTTATGAACGGATTGCATCAAGTTCCGGGGAAAACTTTTCTGTCCTGTTGGGGTTTCAAAGTACAGACTGTCATGAAATCGCGGGCTCCGCGATCCGGTCTCCAAAGTGTCAAGAGTGTCCGCCGGAGGGGCTCTTGATGTGGTGCAAGGTTTTGTGGGGCTGTAAAGCGAAACTATGGTCATTTAAGGGGAAAAACAGCCCGCGCGCGTTTCTCTGTTCCCTCGGAGAGGACTAATGTTTGCTGAAGGTGGGGTGATGCGGCTCTCGCCCCAAGTGGACTGGGTGCAGTCGCAAGGAGCAGGAGACTCTTAACACCCAAGGTGTAATCATGAAAACCGGTCTCCGAAGGTTCTCCGGAACTGGACACCCTGTTTCCTTCAGACTCTTGCTTGATGGTTTTGTTTCTGCGCCTCATGGGCCACATTTCCTCGGGGGCTCCAGTAAACCCTTAGCTAGAGAACCTCAGCTCTTTCAAAGAGTTCCAGGAATTGCACTGAGAAAAATAAGGCAGATTTTGTGGTAGATTGGTGTTGATCCTCGCTGCAGGTGGTGGCAGAACATGTTGTGCTGATTCAGAAATCCTGAGTGAACTTTCCCTAATGGTGGACACCTGACATTTCAGCAGAGCGTCTCCACGGGGAGCATGGCTCTCCTGCCTCCACACCACCAAGCCTCCAAAACTCCTGCAGGTCAGATGAGCACCCTCAAGGACGGTCAGTTTCTGAGCAGGACCCGCAGCTCTCGGTGGAGCTTCAGAATGCATTGATGCTTTGTAGCTAGCACTGAAGACCAGGCTGTGACCCCCACCCCACACCCCTGCGCCCGCCACCCTGCGTGATCTAGGAAGGCACGAGCCCCGGAGCTGTGTAAGTGGCTCTTTTCTTTGTCATCCCGCTTCAGGGCAGACAGCTCCAGCACTGCAGGCCCTGCTAAGGTGCCTGGTGGGGCCACACCTGCCTGATTGCCAAGGTGTGTCCACTGAGCCCCAGTGATCCCAGACTTTGAAAAGTCAGGGTGGAAGGCTTGCAGTTTGAGGGCCAAAGAGAGAAGGTATAATTACAGGGTTGCACTCCTAGGCCCATCTGCTTAGAATTACAGAGCAGTTTTAATCTTTGGCTGAAACATGAAACAAATCAGAGCCAATGAGCAGATCAAACAGCAGCTGCCACACACACCAGAAGAAAGAGGGTGAGAGAGATGAAACAGAAAATTGTCCCCTTAAAAAAATCTGTTGTAATATCTGCGAACAAAAATGGCAGGATGGTGAAATGACTTTCAAATGAGAAATTACTTGAAAATTTGGCGTAAACAGGATTTTTTTTGCATTTTGGACTGTAAAAGTGGGCCTCAGAAGTGCGGCTTGGACCGGCTTGTTCTGAACGCTTTCTCCCTCCTTTCAGAGGTGGGTGTTGTAATTATACTTCCTAGCCTGCCCGCTAGTCCAAGCTGGGATAATAACTAATAGTTGGTAATAAAAGCCCCAGTAAATCCTTGTGAGAATAGCCCGAAATCTCCCAATTTGAGTCTGTGTTGGCCTGAACTTCTTGGGATAAGAGATTTATCCAGACCTGGTTGTGCTGGGAGAACTTTGTGGTGGAAGGGAGGAAGGAAGGGGGCAGTCTGCACTATAACCCAGAGGGGGAGCGGGGTGGGGCGGGGGGGTCAGACCCCGTGCATGTGTGTGCATGCCTATATGTGTGTGACGAAGAGGATATAAGAGAAAAAAGGCGTTTGGATGGCATGGATACCCTGCAAAAAATTATCCAATTTCAAAGTGAGTCTGCAATGGCAAAATTATTAACGCTGACGTTGCTCAAAGATCAACTTGGATCCTGCAGGGAGTGTTGGACTCTAGCATAAAAAAATAAACAGATGGAATGATTGTTCAATGTATAAATCCTTGGGATTTAAGAAAGGCTTGTGGTAATTCATTAGGATAATGTAAAGCACCAGGAAACAATTGAGTATTCTCCTTTTCCCTTTTCCTCCTGATTTTCCCCAATTGAAGTAGTTTTAACTGAAAATAGGTATTAACCATCTTAACCCAAGAGAATGGCTTGATGAATGTGTCCTACTCTATAGTCGGAGGTTTTACAAACATTTAAAAATTCTGTAGCGACAGATGAGCTTGATCATATATTTTAATAGTTATGAGTCGAAATCTTCTTAGAATGGCTTAATGATTTTTTTCCTGATACCTAGGCATCTTATTTTACTAAACATAGGACACTATTTGTCTATTGTAGCAATTTTGGTAACAACAGATTTTTGGGGGTTACGAGTGTGTTTGTGACAAACTTTAATAAGTGTAGTTTCAGACATCATTTATAGATTCTTATACTAGCAAGTCACATTAATAAGATTAAAAAGTACACAAGGCCTTTATGAAGATTCTGTGTAAGGATGACATAGAAACTACGATGTTTGGCCTCCAGTCTTTGCTTAGTTTGTTGGTTACTTTTATTTCCACTAATTGCAAATCATAAATCACCCCTGTGTCCTACTGGTGAGTAAATTAGGCTCTGGCTAGACTTGAGCCTGTTGTTTGTTTTTGCTGTTTTTTAAACTGTAAATGTAGGGCAGGACTCAAGTTCAAAATTTAATGGCATGAAAGTATACATGTCAATTTTACTTTCCTCTCCTTCAACTTCTGAAAACAATTGAATTTCTTAATCCAAATAAAACCTATTGAATGTCACGGAGGTGTGCAGCTGGAAGATGTCCATTATCACTGTTTTCTTTGCTTAGATGAAAAGCCACAGAAATCATTCGGCTCCAGAAACACAGATTAGCATGAGGTATTCCAGAATAAGTGGTGCTTTAATGCACAGCAAAGTGCGGACTCTCCTTGCTAATGGAAATATTTGATTTTAAGTTTTGGAACTGATGTTGGGGGAGATGTTCTATCCCCCCGTGCTGTTTGCTTGTGTAGAATTAGTTGACTTTTCTGAAAGGTGAAGGCACTTTTGAGCTATTCCCTTTCATTCAAGCATATTTTAGCAAAATGAAAAAAAAAAAAACCACAAAACTAAATTTCCAAGTGAGAGCTTACCCAACAAAATCGGACAAAACACTTATATAGGATAAAATAGGAATCTTTGAAATACCGTTTTACTGAAGACAGTTTTTGTAACCAAGAAACCATTGTGTTTCCTGCACCCTTTCCCCCTTGGTCATAAAATGAAATCTTGAAAAGAAATATGACTCATTGGAACATAACAAGGAGCAAGGGTCTTAGATGTTAAATATTCTCTTGCAAAATCAGTTGACTTGCTTCAAACATGTGGCTAGGCACATCTATAGTAGCCATGTTCATTCTTTTTCTCCCCAAATGAGAAGAGAACTAAACCTTAAGTGGATGATATGACTGTGTAATTACATACTGTTTAGGGACAGACTGATGACAACTTGATATAATCAATTAAAGTGAAGCATAAGACATTTAAGACTAGAAACATGAAAAGCTATGTTACTGATTGTATACATCTGCTGAAACTCACACAGCAGGCTGTGTCTTCAGTAGACCCTGGTGTGTAGCGTTGAAGTGAAGACCCTGCCATTGTTGTTCACGCACGCCTTCTTACTGTGTCAAGATTTTATGTGTTCGGGTCCTTATGGGAATAGAATTATTCTGGAAAGTCATGTGATAGGTATCAAGGTTAGAGAAATGATAGTGTGACACCCTAAAATTATTAAGGTTATTCTGTTCTGTAAGGGTTTTCCAGTTTTATTCATTCAGCAAGTACATTTATGAGGCCCTCCTGTGTGCCAAGTACCCCCACATGCCAGGGACAGGAGCTGTGAGGAGGTGCATACTCCCTTTCCTGCAGAGCCCCAAAGAATATCGAGGGGTGAGGAGGGAAAGCTTGTTGCAGGGCCCCAGAGCGGGGAGGATGGCATGCTCTGGGTGACTATAGTACTTTCCCTGCTGAGAATCCCACCAGACCGCCCCAAACATACACATACTCCACGTACACCATACACACACACCCACACATGGGCACAACTGTGCTGAAGAGCATGGGTGCGGCAGCAGCAATGAACTACGGATGTAACATGCAAATTGTGCAGTTTGTGGTTCGACCCCAGTGTCTAGCCTGGGGACCATGGCATTAGAAGAAAATGACATAGAAAATTACCTCATTTTCAGCTACAGTTGAATGGAGCCAGGAATTTGAAATCTTGACTTTATTATATTTCTCATAAAAGGAAAAATACTTTTAGATAAAAAGGTTTAAAGATTGGCAAGAGCAGCTCTTTCAGCTTTTATCTCACAAAACAATTTGGAAAGAAAAATAAGAGCTTGGTAGGCATAGCTACCCACATGGTAGTAAAATCCAGTTTGTCTGCAATGCATACAGGCTTTTATTCCAACACATGGAAAGCTGTGCTGGAGCTTATCTAGCAGAATCCACGGTAAAGCATACAGTTACAGTAATGACTGCTTATTTAATTGGGCAGGGCAATTTCATGGCTAAGTAATTACCTGCATTTAATCTAATCAGCCACATTTTATCTGCTTTGGGTTTTTACATATCACACCAGTTCTAACTTGAGAATACTTTCTCACTCTGATTATCCAAGTAATACATGTCACATTATTTAAAACAGAAGCGTGCGAAATGAGCAAGAAAAGCATCACTCAGAAGCCCCTCCCCAGAGACAACCATTGTTAATATTCTTACATATGCTTATTTAGCCTTTAAAAAAATTTTTTTTAAAGCATTGAACTACATATTATAGAGACCGACCCGATCAAAGATTAGTTCAGTCTCAAGTGTGCTTGAAAATTGTTTCCTTCCCCACTAATTTTACATTTTATTACATGTAAAGTG